TCTGTATATGATTTAACATTTCATTTCTCGTTATATATCTAATTATCTTTATGATTTAACATTTCATTTCTTGTTATATATTAATTACCTTTATAAATAAATATATTATATTATCAAGAATTTGGTTTTATCTCTCTAGAGGACCCTGTCTAACACAGCCTGGTTATCAAAAAGACTAGTATCTGGGCTCTTAAAGTCTTGTTTTAAAACAAGCAGCTATGTAAGTGAGGTGTCAGCCATGTCCACATGAAAGAAACAGACTAGTCTATATGATCCAAGGGCTGCCAATAACAAAATCCAAACCACAGGAGGGAACTATATTAGTGCTTAAATTCTGAGCAGCCAGTTTGCAGAAGTTCTATGGATGATAGTGAAAGCCTAAAATCCATTTTCAGAGTCCCCATTTGGATTAAGTCTCTGGTGAATCCCCTCTGGCCATTGACCAGGAATATGAATAGCTTTGCTATCAAACAAAGTGCACTGGAAAGTGGACTAGTGCAGATGTAGTTAGGTTAAAAGTTAGCACTTTATCAGTTTATCCCTTTGGATTCTAGTTTTTATTTTTATTCTGTTCTCTTTTCAACTGAGGTTTTTCTGTTTTATTTTATTATTGCTATTTATTTATTTTGCTTTTGTTCTTTTTTGCATATTTTTTCCCTGTATTGAATCAAGGCTAGATAAATCTGTAGAGACGGTGACTGGATTAACAGTTTCTTGGGATTATGACAGGAGTGGTGGTGGTCGTGGTGAAGCAATGAGGAAATAACAAGAATGTATACAAGGAAGGAGAAAATGTTCTAAAATTGATTACAGTGATGATTGTACAACTTTTGTCAATATTTTTAACCAATTCAACTGTATGATATGTGAATTGCATGTTAATAAAGCTCTTAAATTTTTTGAAAAGAAGAAAGCAGCATTATCAACCTCTTAACCCAACATTTCCATCATTTAGAAAAAGAATAACAAAAAAGCCAACAATCAACAGAAGAAAGGAAGTAAAAAATTTGATAAGGTCTCAATGAAACCTAAAAAAGGAAGACTCAAGAAGCCTACAAACTGGTCCTTTGAAAAGATTAATAAAATTGATAAACCACTAACAAATTTAACAAAGGGAAGGCAGGAGGTGACTAAAGTCACACAAATCAGAAATAAAGTAGGTTATGCCGCAACAGAAACAATTGGCAACACAAAGGATGGTGACAGGATATTACAACGAATTGTACTCCAACAACGTTGAAAATCTAGAACAAGTAGACAAATTTCTAGAAATGCACTGCCTACTCACATTGGCACCATATGAAGTGGAACATTTGAAAAGACCCCTAACAAAAGACGATATTGAACAGGTGATAAAAAAATTTCCAACAGAAACAGCCCTAGAACAGATGATTTCACTGGAGTATTCTACTAAACATTTAGAGAAGTACTGGCTTCAATTCTAATGCAACAATTTTAAAACATGGAGAACCCATTGAATGAAACAAGCAAATTCCTGATATCAAAAACCAGTTAAAGTTACCACCAAGAAAGAAATTATATACCAATATCCTTCATGAGCATAGGCACAAAAATCCTCAACAAGATCTTAGGTAATATAATCCAAAAACTTGTAAAAAATAATGCATGACAACCAAGTGGGATTTATACTAAGCTTGTAAAAATAGTTCAACATTAGAATCACAATCAATGTAATCCACTTCATAAAGAACCACAAAATCATATAAATCAATGCAGAAAAGAAATATAAAAATGTCTAATGATCTAACACTCTATTTTTATAAAAATGCTCAGCCAAATGGAAGAAACATTACTTAACATAATTCAAAGCACACACACAAAACCAACCTTATTTTCAAAGGAGATTGAAAGCATTCCCCCTGTGAACAAGAAGCAGACAAGGATGTCTTTTTACCATCACTCTGAGTCAATATCATATAAGAAATCCTAGCCAGTGCTGGAAGGCACGACAGTGAAGTTAAACACATCCAAATTGGCAAAGGAGCACAGCTCTCTCTACTTGCATATTATATACCCCTACCCATAGAACCCCAGAGACCTAACAAAAAATTATTAGAACTAAAAATGAATTCAGCGAAGTAGCAGGGGACAAAATGAATAGACAAAAGTCTGCCAGTCTTCTACACCATAGATTCCCAAACTTATTTGGCCTTTGACCCCCTTTTCAAGGGCAGGGGGAGGGGTATGTCGATTCCCTGACAATTAAAAACTTCGGTACTGCAACCCATATTCCAGGAAAAGATGGAAATTGTCGAAGATTTCATTTTTCTGGTACCCATAGTCAATGATTATGGAAGTAGCAGTCAAGAAATCAAATGCTGTATTTCATCAGGTAATTGTTACACAAGACCTCCTTAAAGTGTTAAAAAGTAAGGATGGTACTTTGAAGAATATGGTTTGCCTGCCTGAGCCATGATATTTTCAGCAGTCTCATATTCACATGAAAGTTTATACTAAGGACGATTTCAGAAGAATTGATGCATTTGAATTATGGGGGACTGCCAGAAGAACAAAGAGATCTGTGTTGGCAGAAGTGGAACCAGACTGCTCTGTAGAAGCAAGGATGATGAGACTTCAGCTTATTTACAACCTTTGGACATGTTGTCTGGAGAGACCAATCCTTGGAAAAGGACATCGTGCTTGAGAAAGTAGAAGGTCAGAGAAAACGAGGAAGATTCTCAATGAGATGGACTGACAGTGATTACAACAAAGAATGTAACAATTATGAAATGGGGGGGGGGGCGGGGGGATTGGACAGTGTTTTATTCTGCTTCACACAGCGTTGCTATAAACTGGAAACAGTCGACAGCACCTAAGACCTACTGACACATTTCACTGAAAGAGAAAAAGAGAGCCTACAGACTGGGAATTGTTTATTAGTGCCATATGGATGTCTAATCTCTGTAATTTATAGAAAAAAGACTAGTCACTAAAATGTATAGAAAACTTCAGCACATCAACAAGGAAAAAGAAGCATATCAATTGAAAAGTGGGCAGATGGCGTGAATAGACATTTCACCAAAGGAGACATTCAAGAAACCAGCAAACACATGAAGACATGATGGTGACAATTGCCCATCAGAGACATGTGAATCCAAGCAACGGTGAAAGATCATCTTCCTCCAACATTAACAGCAACCTTGACAAAATGTGAAAAGCAACAAATGCTGGGGAAGGTCTGGAAAGATTGGAACCCTCCGACCCTGTGAGGAGGCCTGGATATGATGCGATCACTGCGGGAAAATATGTGATGGCTTCTTTAAAGAAATAGAATGATCACGAGTAAGCTTATGTCTTGGAGAAAGAAGAGTAAGGAACTAATGTCGGGGGTTTAAATGGAGAGGAAATGTTTTGAGAAACAATGTACAAATGTGCTTTACACAACTGATGTGTGTATGGATTGGGATAACAGTTGTATGAGCCCCTAATAAAATGTTAAAAATAAATAAAATTTAAAAAAAAAGAACAGATGGATGTACACCTATGTTTATTCCAGGACTATTCCCAATAGCACAAAGATGAACACAGCCTAAGTGCCCGTCAATGGATGAAGGAGAACATAACCATGGCACATACATACAATGAAATGCCTTGCAACATTAAAAAGGATGATGGCAACATACGTACAAGTGGATGTCTGGATTGTTATAACAGCCCCCAATAAAATGATTTAAAAAAATAACAATGAATCCATGAAGCTGGGGAGATGTATGCTTAGTAAAATTTGTCAACCACTAAAGGACAACTATTTTATGAGACCACTACCACAAAAAAATCAACAAAATGTTTAGATACAGAACAAAACATTCTTTGAAGGTTACCAGGCGTGGGTGTTGAAGGGAAGGAAATCATTAACTAGAAGGCATCGCCGTGGGTGAAGGGAAGCATAAAATGATAAAAGCAAAGGAAGATACTGGGAGGAGTATAAGGGTTAAAGGCAATAAAACTGAAAATCGATTATGCATGCAATCTTGCTGTTACAGTAACAATCAGTGTGTGAGGATGCAAGTAGAACAAATGTGGAGAGAGGCTTTGTTCTACTTGCATTCTCACACACTTTCAGCTTGCATAGCTCCTATGTATGCACTCTTGATTGTTACTGTCATAGCAAGATTTCCTTTATCTTCTCTCTCCTGTTGGGCACTTGAGAGAAACCAATTGTGCTTTAGATGGCCACCTACAAATTTTTACATACCAGCCCCCTCCACACACACAACTCACTTCTCACCAAAGGAGGATGCAGGACATCATCTTTGTGGCCTATGCTATGTCAATTGTAGTTGGTGTCCCCATGGTCCTGAGCCCCTCGAACCAGTGACTCATTCCTTCAATATGTTTGTTTATTGCTAACACTGTCACTGAGTCGATTCCCATTCACAGTGACCCAATGGGACAGGCCAGAATTTCTCCATTGTGTTTCTGAGATTGTAACTCTTTACAGAAATAGGAAGCCTTGGCTGGTGGTTTTGAACTGCCGACATTTCTTTTATCAGCCCAATGCATAACCCCTCTGCTACCAGGACACCTTAAGTTACGTTGTACTGTATTCGTGAGTTATTTGTAACACACCAGCACCCTGTATTCTAGTACCTTAGGGACCCGGTGGCCATGGACAGCCTCAAGCCGGCTTGCTACTGTTGGGTCATGTTTACTGAATGTAATTCTAACCAAAGGACCATTTAGGAAAAAACAACAGCAACAAACATTGCATAGGTTTGTTAGCATTCTTTCAACAACACAGCATTTTTGACTTTTAAATATAAAGTCATTCATTGGAAGAGAAGAATATGCAGTGAAAGTATTTAGAGCGTGACTTACCAGGAAACAGAGGGCATCGTGTTTGCTTCGATTGCTGAGCTGCACTTTTCCTCTGTCATTTGGAAGCTTGTGAGAGCTGACACTCAGGGCAACTGCCCTGTTTCTCCAGATTTCACATTTTCTGTCTCTGAAAGGTGCAATCGTATCACATTTCTATTGCTCTTGATTAGTGGGAAATATTTATCTTGCTTCTGTGGCTGATTTCCACTACATACAGGTTGCAACTTTTGCAGGATTGTCTGTAATTTAATCAATTGTTAGGTGCTATTACGTAGGTTCTGACTCGTAGCAACCCTGTGTACATCAGGCTAACACTCTACCCAGTCCTGAGCCAGCCTCGCGATTGTTATGATGTTGAGCTCAGTTTCATGTCCAGTGTATCAATCTATCTCATGAGGATCTTCCTCTTTTAAGTTGACCTTCACATAACCAAGTTTTACGTTTTTCTCCAGGGATGGATCCCTCCTGACAATATGGCCAAAGTAAGAAAGACCAAGTCTCTTCGTCCTGGATTTTAAGAAGCATCCTCTCTGTACTTTCTTGAAGACAGTACAAGCTCTTCTATAAGCTCATGGTACAAGCTAAGGGGATGTTGCTAATGAGAGGCCAAATCTCAGGAAGGATGGGAAAGCTGATCCATGGCAGATCGATCCAACCACGACTCCTCCATCCTGTGTGTCCTCAAGGGACAACTGGAGATTGGAATGCACGGGAGCTTTGCTAATAGGCGACGCCACCTCACATACCTGTGTCATATACATATCAGACAAATTCCCACACGCACTCATGTGATGCAACATGGATGCAAATCCCTTCTTATTAGCAATGCCTCTGTCTGGGTAGGAGTTCTAGTGTACATCGACCACCTCCATCTTTTCCAATTTCTTCTTCAAAGGGACGGTTATGACTGTCAGTAAAAAGGATGTTAAAACAAACCAATGAAAAAATACAAAAGCAAACTCCCACCGCCATCAAGTCGATTGATATTCATAGTCGTCCTATATAGGGTTTCTGAGGTGATAAACCTTTCAGGTGGGCTCTGACTCATGGCGCCCTTATAGGACAGCAAAGGGTTTCCAAGGTCCCCTGTGGGTTTCTGAGACTGTAACTCTTTAGGGGAGTAGACGGCCTCATCGTTCTCCAGTGGAAGTGTTGATGGGTTTGAACCACCAACCTTGCTGTTAATAATCCAATGTTTCCTCTCCAGTACTGCCAAGGGTCCTGTAATAGTCTGGGTACTTTAGAGAAACAAATCCACTCATGTATAAGAGAGTGTTTTATATAAAGTTTAAGTGTGCATCAAGAAAACATCCCAACCCAGTGCTGCCCAAGCCCACAAGTCCAACATTAAGCCATATGTCCAACAACAATCCACAAAGTCCTCCACCTCACAAAACAGACGTAATGATGCCAACTGCAGGAGGAAAGCCAGTCCGTGAATGTGTAAACATCTTAGCGCTGGCAAGGGTCTCCACATGGCTGCTCCAGCACTCAGGGCTGCATCGGGGCAGATTCATGTGGCTTCTCCTCAGGGATGTCTTGCAGGAAGTGACCCTTGCCAGCTAAAGCAGGGAACTGGCTAAGGCAGTTGCACTCTGGTCCGACCATCACAAAGCAAGAGACCCGAGAAGTAGAAAGGCGAGGCCCACTGAACCATTTATCTCTCCGCCCTTCAATTAAACCCACTTGTGTTTATCGGCCAGGTTGGCACAATAAACTAACTCAGCTCCTTAAAAAGGTGCAACTGGGAAGAAAAAAGATGGTGGATATTTAAAATATAAATTTTAAACAATTATTTAAATCTAGGAATTTTAAGTATTTTTCATAATATCTTGAAAATTGTGTTTCTTTTTTTAGTCCGAAATCTTTTGAGCAGCATCCAGATGCTTATATTTTCTACCATTGTCTTTGAAAATGACTCCTCTGTAAGTTGAGTCTTAAGTCACAAAAGGGCTTTCTTGACAATAGAATGAGAAGAGGCATTGCCATCAAATGACTGCCCCTTGTAGGAAAGGACCTGAACCACGAGACCGTTGGTTGTGCAACTGCAGCTTAATGAACCTCAAGTGTGGAGTGTGGCCCTCAGGACAGGAGGGCCCATAAATGAGAACTGCTGCCAAGGGACAGAGATGACTCAGTGAGAGAGGACACCTGTGGTTAATTCTGGGCAAATGCACTTCAGGTGCGGCCACAACCCATCTGTCAGTGGGGTCTTGGGTGTTGCTAAGATTTTGTGTGGGTTTCATTGATGCTTCTAGACAAAGACAAACTCAGCTTTACAATCAGCCAACGGAGACACTGTGAATGACAACGGTCAGTATGCAACGGATGGTAAGTAGGCTGTAGGACTGTGCAGTGTTTGGTGCCATTGTGCAGGGGTTACAGTGAGTTAGGGACCAATGTGACAGCAACTTACAACAAGGTTATTCTCATTGTCTCACTTCTTTATTTTCCATAGAAAAATAGAGAGGTAACTTAACTAATTGGATGAAATCAGGACAAGAATCATGGAAATCGGGCAGCACATTCCGAGAAGGAGGCACTAGGCATTCAAGGAATTGAACCTGCTTTCGTTTTTCTTGCTCTCCCCATTGGTATGTGTTTGTGTGCGTGGAATACACTAAATTCCTGATAATTCTCTTTTTCTTTCTCTTCTCCCACCCGTCATGCCGCTATGTGTCAGACAGCATGTGGTTTGACATCACGGGAAGAGGACCAGGTCACAGCTGCTGCCCGGATGCCGAAGAAGGAAGAGTGGGTGATGGGGGTGGGGTCGGTATAAACTTGAGGATTCAATTTGAATTTAGGAAGACTGGCTAGATGTTTTGCTGTGTAATGATTTTATTAACTAATTGCAGGCTTAGCATAATCCCAAGAATGACATTTTGCAGGTTTTGTAGATTCAGCAGTTCTTTCAACTAGCTAGATTAGCCCCATTGACACAACAAAACTCGTATGTTTTCTGAAAGTCTCTAAGACACAGGGCCGTAGGCACTTTTCCAAAGAGTAAAACAGATAGTGAAAGTCATTGAAATAGAAAACAAATGGATGCAAAGGAGAGGGAAGGAGGGAAGGAGAGAGAGAGAGAAAGAGAGAGAGAGAGAGAATGCAAAAAACATAGGGTTTGATGACCTATTGAGCATCTAACTGGGAGGGACTGGGGAAGTTATTGTCTTTGAAAGTCATGCGGGGAGCCTGGTCATAGACATGCTCAAGAAAAATTGTCATCAGCAACTTCAGTAAGGATCATTTGAGCTAGAGGCTGGCTGTGAACAGGCCAGGTACAGCAGAAGGAGGCACGCCCAGTCCTGCACAATGCGCTCAAACATTGTAGCCAGCCATTTTGTCCAAGACCTTTCCCTTTTTCATAACCTCTTTTGTAGCTTAACCAAGCGTGATGGCTTTCTCCTGGGACTGGTTATGTATTTAGTTTTGCCAAGAAGTTTCACAACTCTCTTTGGGAGCCAGGCGGATTATTTTTAACCAGCAGGCACTAAAGACTCTGCAGTCCGTCACTAGCCGAAAGGCTGTGTTCTCTCACTGCCGAGCCTAATCTCAGGATTCAAAACCGCTGAAGTGGCTGAACATCAACCAAGCTCATGCAGCACGGCTTAACAAAGCACAGTATGCCAAGTCTCGAAGGACTCCCTGCTGTCTCGTTTACTGCCTCTGCGTGCATCCATGGTTCAGCTGAGCTCCAGTGTGGCTGAGTGACCGCTCAAAGCGACAGAGCCAATGGCAAATCTGGGACTAAGTTGAATTCCAGCATCCTGACTCGTGGTCCAGCAAATTACCATTTTTGTCCATGACCTTTTCCTGAACACATCTTGAAATACTGAGGGGATATTTTATTTGAAAAGTCTTCAAATCCTCAAAAGAAGAGGAATGAATCCCTAGTTGATTGTCTCCTAGGCGTTAGTCAGGAAATAGGAGTATTTTGGTTCTCAGTGTGGCTTTTCTTGTGCCTGGAAAAGAGAAGCCTGTGACTAGCCATGTTTCCACCCCGAAGATTAATTTGGGAGATGGAAAAGGAGACTGCGGAGCAGCATACATCATTCTGGTTATCCTTCTCTCCCTCACATGAGGAAAATGGCTATCTTGGAGGGAATGTGACATTCCGGTGTTGGGTGCTTAGGCAGAGCAGATTTTCACTGGGAAAACCTGTGTTTTCTGGTGAATTTCCCAGGTAGCTTGCCTTCTCATTCGAATAGTCTCTCCTCATCATGAAATAGAAGAGCTTTCTAAATCAGAGGTTTGTAGAAATGATGACATGAAATGATTAATGTGAGCACTCATTGTAACTCATAATTCACAATACACATTTAGGTTATTATTATTATTATTATTAATTGGTGCACCTTTTCAAAAACTGATTGCTGTGCAGGCAAGTTAGCAAATGCATGGAACTACAGGATTTTGATGTTTGACAAGCCTAAGTTTGAATACTGGTTCCACCATTTTCCCCCTACAGTACAATGGGAAAGTTTTAAATCTTTCTGAAGGTTAATTTCCTCACCTGTGGAACCAACCTGGTCATTCATATAACTTACCTCTTAGGTTACCATAAGGATTAGTTGAGTTAGTGCACATATAGTGCTTGTTCAATGTCTGACACATACTTCACTGCCCTATACTGCTAACTACTCTTATTAGTAACTTTATTAGTGGAAGCTAAGGTTTTTCTTCCCCATGGGAGCTAACCAACAGAACTGGCCTCAGGTTTTATGAAGGCAAGATTAAGTTTTAATATTTAAATGAGACTCTTTCCTGAACTGGTTAAAAGTCAAAGCAGATAGACACTCAATGTGCCATCGTACTGAGTTGTTTCCAAGACATCCAGCCTGTCATTGTTGTGACTGTTTGGCTGGCTTTCCCGCAGCAAAAATACAAGTGGATGGGTTTAAATAACAGATTCATTTTACCAAAGTTCTGCAAATTAAAAGCCAGAGTGCCAACTCTAGAGGAAGACTGATCTTTGTTTCTTTTAGCTGATAGTGTCTACCAGAAGCTTGGGCATTCCTGTGCATGTCAATGCATCTATCTCCATCTTCACACGGAGTCTTCCTCTCTGTGTGTCTGTTTCCACATAGCTGTCTCCCTTGGTAAGACACCACAAAGAAGTGATTAGGTTTGGAACCACTCTACCTTAATGGGCCCTTTTGAATCCTTTTACCACACAGGATAACCTTCATGAGTACAAGAGTTGGGACCTTCACATCTCTTCTGTAGGGCTAAAATTCAACCCACGACACGGTGCATGCTATGAAAGTTGCAGAAATAGAAACTCGGTCCTTTGTGAATCTAAAATCCACTCTAAAATCTTTCTACTCAACATAGATCAGCTTTCACGAGCTCCCATACCATATAATGAGGACTTCAGACAATGAAATCAGGAATATTCAGTAAACTGTATTTATATTGTGTAATTGGATACATTCTTTAGCTTGGGGATTTACCTACCAGGTGACTGACTTTATTTTTAATTTTTAAATGTGGTTTGAATGAAAATTTACAAAGCAAATTCATTTTCCTTTTAGCCCTTTAACACATTTTTTCTCATAACATTAATCATGATTCTCTTGATGTAACCTGAAAAAGGCAGAGTGTGGGTAAAGGAGAGAAGAGCCCTCATTGCAATCAACTGGTGCAGGGACGGAAACAAACAAAGCAACCACTGTGAGGATGGCAGGAGACAGGCAATTCCCATCTGCTGTATTAAGAGTTGCTATGAGTTGATGCCAGCTCCATGGGCATCTCTCAATAATGGGACAACATTCTGACCGCTTTCTTCCTCCATTTCCTCTTCCCATTCATCCTTCTTTCCTGAGTTCTGAGCTTGTTTGGCCACAGATTGCCATCTGGGCTCCTCTGGTTAATTGTTCTGAGTAGTGCTACACTCATCACAAGTATCATTGCTCACTTTATAAGTTTATCTACTGCTGGGCTTCAAGGTGATCGCTGGGGAGTGTGAAGGATGTCACGGGAGCACCGTCTCAAGGACTCCACCAGTCTCTGCCACAACAGGAAGCCTGCTTGTTTCTATGATTTTAAATGTTCTACATTTTTCTTCCACTGACAAGCTGACTTTCATTTAAATGGAAATGGTTTCTTATTTTTTACATGGTTATTGTTGGAAATCTTATTTTCCGATGAACCATTGTACAATAATTTACTATAAATGAGTACAAGCCTAAAGGAAAATGCAAATACAGACGTGGTATAGTCAATCCTTGCTAATAATCTGAACGCTTGATCTCAAAAGCAAGATTGGAATTTGGGGAATATTAGCATATTGCCCACGTACAATTTTCCGAGCCGTGTGTATGTGTGTGTCTGTGTGTGTGTGTGCATGCATACATTGGAGCATGGAAGCAGTGATAATAGTGGTATGTGAGAATGAAAATGAATTGGGAAAGTGGAACTCAGCTATGCTCTTTCAAAAGGGCAGAGTTTGGAGTAAAGACAAAGTCCTGACCGAAGCCACATGAGCTGGTCCTTTCAGGCTCCATCAATCTCTCCTCTTGCTTCATCTAATAATCTGACAGTCAGATTGCAGTACAATAATCTGATTGTTGTTCTTACCATCAGCTTGCTCTTGCTAAACCCAGCTTCCAGAAGATCTTCCTTTCCATCTGCCTGCTGCCTCAGTAACACTCATTAATGCAGGTCTCCCTTTAAACTGGCATCAAGTTAGCTTGACTCATGGCTACCTTATATGTAATATAACAAAATGTGTCCAATTCTGCATCATTCTCAGAATTACGATGATGTTCAGGTCCATTGATATGGTTATTGTTCCAAACTATCACACCAAAGATTTCTTGCCCCCTCATTTGCTTTTTTTTTTTTTTTTTTTAACGAAAATAGTGTAGCCTATTGATTCCCCTTGCTGACATGTCCACAGCAAGCAAGTTGGGCAAGGTTCTGTTGGGATCCACAAGGCTTCCAGTGGCTAATTTTCTGGAGTAGATGGCCAGGTTGTTTTTCTTAGTCTGTTTTCAGTGAAAGTTCCACTGAAACCTGTCCACCATGGGTGAACCTGCTGGTCTTTGAAATCATGGTGCCATAGCTTCCAGCATCGGCAAACCACCACAGTACAGCCAAACCCTGAGTAGGTGCCCATTAGACATACTCACTGCCTTTGGGTCCATGCTGACTCACAGTGACACCCTGTGGGCTTCTGAGACGGTGAATGTGTAAGGACGGAGAAAGCCCAGTCTTTCTCCCAAAGAGCTGCTGGTGGTTTTGAACTGCCGACCATGTGGATCACAGCCCAATGCATAACTACTATGCCACCAAAGCTCCAATCAGACATATATGTTTACTTTCTT